TGTGTGTGTGTGTGTGTGTGTGTGTGTGTCTGTCTTCTTCATGCATGTGCTCACTCTCTCCCTCTCCGCTCTCTTCTTCTCTCTCTATGTGGTTCTCAACTCTGAATACATCCGCCACTACTCAGGTCTACCTCCCACTACTAGCTGAGCGGATATGGTCGCCTTCCCTCCTCAGCACAGCGCTGCCCAGCAGGGCTCCCGCGCATGCTACTTCGCAGATAGCGCACAAGCACTTCAGCAGCACTTCTCACGAACGAGCAACCTCCCTGAAATGTGGCTGGCCAGTCCTTATATTGACTAGGACGGAGCCTGCACTCGTCCCAGCCTCTGCTTCCTTTGGCTTGACTTGGTACTGGTACCGCATGCCCATGGCCTGTTTGCTTGAGAATGTTGAGGCCTGGTACCTCCCTGAATTTTCCCTCGGTGCGCTGCTGCTTGGGAATGTCAGTCGCGACTTTTCATCTGTGGGATATGCCTCTTTACCTATGAGACTTGACCTTTTACTGTACACTATGTGACTTTGAGAGGTGACTTTTGCCTGTGGGACACGACTTTTGCCTTGGGAAGTGCCCTGTGCCTGTGGGATGTGACCCTTCACCGTGAGACGTGACTTTTGCCTCTGGGATGTGACCGTTGACCTGGTGTCTGTTGGACTTTACCTCTGGGGCACCCAACTTAGCTTTTCTTTTCTGAAACTGGCCGACTTGGCCCCCCACGGGCCTGACACTGAGATTCGAGCTTGGGGTATGCATTGTGGAATGCCGTTCAGCTTTATTTTTTTTTATTTTTTTTTTAATCCCCATCAACCATCTCTAACAATTTCAAAAATGCAGAACACATGCGGCATTCAGGAGGTCGTGGGTTCAATCCCCCCGACCACCTGGGGCAAGGTTGGTGCCAACCAGCTGAGATAGTCAGCTTTTCCCCTGGTCGGTATGAGCAGGGTCTTTGGCTAACACAGGTGTGAGTGTGAGTGCGAGTGTGAGCAGGTCGTGTGAGGTGTGTGGAAGAGTGTTGGCCTTGGACACTGCTGCCGGTCGATAGGGGGTGGGGACGACGAAAAGCGAGGCGCACCTACTGGCAAAATGCTCGGTCTTTGTGTTAGTCGGGCCCCCCGACCACTAGGGCAAGGGGCAACATGCAATATCCCCCTCACCATGAGAGTCGGCTATGCTTGCAGGAGTTCCCTGTATAGCCTTAGGAGTAGTGGGTAGGTAGATAAACGGTGAATTTGAGAGAGACTTTGAGAGAATAAAAATGTGCACTATTAGAGGGGTGGGGGAAGGAGAAATGTAGAACACCATGGAACAGCAGGTTCCCTCTCATCTGTGGTCGAGCAGAGTGTGTATGGCCCTTTTGCGTATCTAGTTGGCTGCAGGAATGCCCCACCCCCACCATAAGTTTTTTTGTTTTGGGTGGGGGTGGGGGGGAGGGAGGTGGAAGGCCTCATTTTTTAACTTGCCTGGATGACCTGGGCACAGGCAACTCTGGTGCCCTACGGAATCACCTACTACGACACCAACACCCCCCCAAAACCTCCCCCCTCCCCCCACACCTCCCCAGCAGCGACAGGGATAGAAAAATAGAGACCGCAAGACTAGCCGCATCCGTGTGGTTGACCAGATTTCCCCATAATTGGAATAAAAGGATGAAGAGGGCCGTCTGCACAAAGGCACGCTCGCACATCGTTGGAAAAAGGGGCAGGCAAGAGAAAACCAACGTGCACCCAACAACCAACGTCCTGATACAGTACACGACCATTCTCAAAGAAACAGCCAAATCCCAAAAAACACTGAAACAAAGGCCCAACTTTTCTACCATGCTAAAAGTGTACGCGCCGTAGTTTACACCCATCCGCAAAGAAAAAAAAAATGGTAATGCACAAACAGAACGTTCATGCGGCACAAGGGCTCTGGCAACGATAGCGCTCTGACCCCCCTCAAAGAGTCTAAAACTCGGCCCGCGGAACTCTCACCCATAATGAATGCCCTCTGAGCCCGTCCACAAACACTCCACAGATCAGGTGTGACATCATAACTCCCTCCATTGACACCAGGACTGGCACTGCTTAAATCGCCAGTACATCCGGGGCTGTGAACGTAAGAGCCTAAATTTGAATATTGCCGGGCGTGAAAGCTACTGGGACCATGGTTTGGAAAATTGATGGTACCGGTACCGGCCTCTCTCGGATTGAGAAGTGGACCTGCTGCCAGCAGATGTAACAAAACGGATGTCATCGTTTTCACTCACAGCTGAACTCTCCACAAACCCAGCCCGTATCTGGCCTAGTTCGAGCACCATGATACAGGCCAGACACAAAAGAAAAGAACAGAGAAAAGAACGGCCCACAGCACCAGTCACAAACGAGAGAGATGAAATATTGAAATAATGAGGGGAAAAAAAAAAAAAAAAAGAAAGGAAAGAAACTTATCCCATCAGTGCTGTCAGGAGCCTCCCGCGGCTCCTGCCGTGAGAGGGGCAGGAAAAGACACAACGGGCAGTATTGCTTGCACCAAAGCCCTGAGGGGATGGTATTGCACCGGGCTGCAATTGCGGCCAGACCTGGACAATCTGAGTGCATTCACATCCAAAGGTTTGTGGCGTACGCACGCCCTCCGCTAGGGAAAAAAGAGAGGAGATTCGTGTGCAATCATGAATCTCACGAATCTCTTTCTTTTTATTTTCCTAGCTGAGGGCGTACTCACACTATAGGATGTTCAGTCCAAGGCTCTGGACGTGATTGCAGTCAGATTCGTCCATGTTTGGCCACAATTGCACTCAGATCCAGTTAGGCCAGACCTGGACGGATCTGACCGCAATCATGTAGACAGCTTTGGAGTGGTAAAGCTCTACTCTCGCGGCTCACCGTGCGCTCCTGACAACGCTGAGGGGACATTATGTCCCAACCGTTTCTTCCGCCCGCCAAGTGCCAGGTCAAACCTCTGCCCCCCCCCCGTGCCTGCATATTCTGCACCGCCTCAACCCCCAGGACGGCTTGCAGTCCAAATGGCCCCTTTTCCGTGGGCGCACCAGCTTCCTCCCCCATCAAACTACAGGGCCTTCCCCGAGCCCCGAAATTTATATGGAATGGGATGAACCACGACGTCATTCCCCCGCAATTTCCACTGGTCACAGGCATGAACAATGGCCAGGTGACGTCCAGGGCCATCTACGACGCAGGCAGAGATGTGAAACGAAGGATGAAACCACTCACAAGGCCAAGCATGGCAAAAGATCGTATCATGGACTAACCCTACCGTCTTCACCAGAATAGAATGCCCGGTCATTATAGCTGTGTATTTGGCACAACTTTCGGTGCAGATGCACCGATAATGACCGGGCGTTCTATTCAGGTGAAGACGGTAGCTCCGATTCTCAGTACGTATCAAGAATTATCCCAAGCCTAGCTGCACCCCTATGGTCAGAAGCAGGAAGATGAGACAGAGAAGTCCGGGATCGCTAGTGCATAGGCCGCTGCTCGCAAAACTTACAGAGACCTTACGATCGCGGGCCACTGACTTTGGTCCAGAGCGGTGAACGAGCGGACAGGCTGCGCCGTTGCTGGGAGGATGCAGGAAGAGATGTGAAACAAAGGAGGAAACCACTCACAAAGCCGAGCATGGCAAAGTTAAAGCTGGCGGTCCCTCGTTGCAAGGGACAGGACCTCAAATTGTAAAGCCTCCTTCCCTGGTAGAATTACCGCCTTCTGGCCTTAGGCATAACGACTACCGTACATTCTACTCGGGGGAAGGGAATGTGCAGGTGAGCACCCTCGACAGCCACTACTGTCTTCCCCCGAATAGGATCGTACAGTCATTAATACGGCATCTAGACGGAAAGTTGCCCCTAATCCAGGCATAACGACCGTACATTTTCTACTCGGGGGAAGACGGGAGCTCCAAACCCACTGCACCAGGCACGAAGCAGGTTTGACTTTTCATACACAATGTGTTGAAACAGGCAACTGGCTGAATTCATGGCTTGGCCGCAGATCCCTCAACAGCAAGAGACGGCAGCTTGCAAGAGGCTAAACATCGCTCATGCAACAACAGAAGCGCTGCTTCCAGCGCACACAGACCCCCTCCCTATGTGCCCCAATAACACGCACACACTCTGAAAATCGTACCCAAAAAAGCACAATTACTCTATGAATCTGCTCACAACAGCTTCATCCTGCACAACTGCCACTTATCCATTCCCATTTGCCAGGGCATCTAGCTGCCATG